CTCTCTTACTTCCATCCATTTTTAAGGGTATGTTAGGTCGTAATGAGAATGATCATGTTCCCTTTGCTTTGATTCTCAGTGAATCTGCTCTTTGGCCTCTTTGCTCATCCATGGGAAAAATCAGTCATATAAGAAGCTAAAATTGAGCAAGGAGCATGTTAGAGGTTTAAATTAAGCAGGCTTCTTTTGTTAGGGCTACATTTCTAATGCCTTTTAAAATGAACATTTTATTTCTCTGGTAGACAATTCCAAGAAATCAGATGAAATGTCTTATCTCGTAAATGAAAAGTTAATTGTGAAGTCTATAATGTGTAAGATATGTGTGAGTGGACTTTGTTATATATAAATAAGGTGCCACTTTACAACAGCAGGGCATGTGTAAATGAGGAGAAACATTTATGATGTGTGCCACATTGACCTAGTATCTCCAGAATTCTGTCATGATTGGCTGGGTGATGATAGGAAGAGGTAAGATTATCTCTATTCTCTTACCTCAACCTCCCAACCCAAAACCAACATCTTGGAGAAAAGAATTCAAATATAAACTTAAGAGAAAAAGAAAGCAGAAGAGAGCAGGGAGAGGAGAGAGGGGGAGAAAGAACAGGAGGCCAGTGAAATCAATCTTCAGTATCCTTGCCCTCACTTCCCTGTCAATGTCTCAGTCTCTATTAACTCTGCCAGCCTCCTTCACAAATATTGCTTCCTGAATTCTGGATTCTGTTCCCTCAGAATTTTAAAAGTGGCTCTTTACTTATGATTTTATTGTGAGCTATTGAAAAAAATAAGGCTTAGAAAATGAAATATGCGTTTGTAGGAAATGTGCCAGTTCATATAATGAAAGATAGTTGAACAACATGTGTCCGTGGGATGATAACAGCTTTGAGTTGGCTCCAAGCCCAGCTTTGGCAATTTCTAGCTGAAAGCTTAGGGGCAAGTGACTCAATCCCTCTGGGTCTCAGATTCCCTCGTCTATAAAATGGGGGGATGATAATACCTGCTTTCAAAGGGTTGTTTTAAGGAGTAATTGAAATGATGTCTGTAAAGCATCTATTGTACTTGCTTAAGAACACACTTGACATATGTTAGTCCCTGATCTTGATTACCTCTCTTCTCCTTTCCAGCACTTTCTTTTCCTTTACCTTTCCTCCCCTTTCTGCCCCTTTCCTGTCCTTCACTACAGCAAGGAAAACAGCAGTGGGTTCTGTATGTGAGATCAACACACACACCAGGTACCTGATGTTTGCCTGCACAACACTGTTCAGATTTTATCTGTCGCCGCATACTCTCTTTGGCTGCACTTGTGTCTTGGGCCCTTGGCTATCAACACTCGGAGAGTTCTAGACATTGCTGTTATGTCTGCTACTGCAGTCTCGACACTGCTCCTTCATCTCTGTCATCTCTAGTTGTCTCTCCCTCCCTTTGAGTAGGCTCTGGGTTCCAGAACTGTCCCTGCTGGACTCACCGTAGCAGGACCCAGGCCAGACCATAGGAGACCCACCTAGGCTCTCACTCCTCATATTGCTTCCAGAATCTGAAGAAGCGCTGTGTTACAGGGCCTGGGCTCTGGCTTCCTCAGCAGCTGCCTGAAGGGATCTGGTGATGTAACTTCCTGTGAGCATAACCTTTGGCCACACGAAGCAGAAAAGAGGATGAAGTGAACACATTCATTCCTCTCCCATCCTTCCTCCAATAGTCTGAATAGCCTATCCAGTGACCTCTTGAGGCAACGTGATTAGTTATGTGCAGTGAAGCAATCTCCTCCTCAATAACGTGTCATCTTGTTTTGTTTTGCTTTCCCCCATCCTTCCATATCTCACTTCCCTTTCTCCCTCATTCTTGTTTCTCTAGGATTGAATCTTCCATTAATGTATTAGTAATTAAGCCTTGCATAGTTAGTAGGGTTCAAGGGAACCTGAACGAAGATACTTGTGAACTACATTTTCCAGGATCTCTTGCCAGTTGTCTTCTGGATGGATTTGGTAAAGTAAGAGGAACTAATGGGAGGCAAAAGAGAAGGAGAAGAGAAAAGCCAGGGTGCCCTCACTCTCCCACTTCAGAGACAGCTCAGAGGTAGTAGCTACGAGGTTTCCCTGGGTCTTTCTAGCTCTGGAGTGGGAGTAGACACTGCTGTTGGTCACCTTTGAGTTGCCTCAGTACCCCTTTTTACTTTGGTAACCATTTTCTTCTGTTAAATTTCCCCTAGTAAACCATCTGGCGTGGGCTCTTTATTTCCTGACAGGACACTAAGGTTACACACAACAATAAAAAGTATTACTTTATTTACCTGTGTTTGTGGTATGACTGAAATTATTTCTTCCTCCACAAGATATTGTATTTATAAGATACATTTGTAATTCTAAAAATCAATAACACAAGAAAACTGGGTTTTTGACAAATTCAAAGGAAATGGTCATAAGAAAGTTCTATGGGTTATCAGAAAAGACATCAAATTATTATTTTAGCCGTTTAAATGGCATTTGATATTTAAAACAAATAACCCTTTCCTAAAGGCTGTATTTCCCAGTTAATACAAATGTATGTCCTACAATCACCTTGTAAGCTGCCTGTTTCTCTTATATCTTGACAGTGGCTACTGATCTGGCTGTATGCATCCTAGGCCTGGTAGGTGGCAAATTAGTGATGTTAGAATGTGCATAGTATTATTTGGTAAATGGGACTCAAATTTTATTTGTTTCCATACCTCCCAAGGTGCTTGTGAGAAACAAAACAGACATCCCCCATTACCTCCACTCCATGTTGGTATTGAGAACATGCACATTTTCTTTCTGCAGTATATACAATTTTCTAATATTGGCCCCCAGGTGCTTTGCATTTATAGTGAATGCTCTGTAATGGCTCAGCAACAACTTCTGGGATTTCCTTCAATAATACGCATGGGCATAGTGTAAACATGATGGTAGAAATACTTCAGGGTCTAGGTGCAGGGACATATGCGGACAGGCTTGCCCCTGAATTGGGGCAAACAAAGGCCTCTCCTCTGGAAGGTGTAAAGGGGAGCATACGTGGTATGTGAGCACCCATTCACGGCCACCTGGCAGTCAGAGTAACAGTAAGGAATTTTCACAATTCCTTCCTTTCAAGGGAGCTTGCAAGGACGGCAAATCCTTGCAACAATTTGTTTTTTCCTCGCCAGGTTTTATTTTTTCCATATAACCTGCAAAACTGAACTTTGTAGTTCCAAAAACTCTTTCCCAGTCATTGTCGGCACAATAACTTCAGTGCTATACCCAAACTGGAGAGACAGCCTGAGCCAACATGTGGCATCCTTTGGGTGACAGAAGTGCATATGCTCAGGGCTTCTGTCCTCTCCCCACCTATGACTTCAGTCCACAGATATCCTATTTTTTCCCACTATCTAGAAAAGATGATGCAACCAGAATGCCTTGGTCTGGCATCTCATGATAACAGGCAAGGAGAAATTTGTGGCCTCTGGATTTCAGAGAACATACCTTATATCATCAGCAGCCTCATGTGGAAATATTCCACCTAGACAGGAATCAGCCCATACATACTACTTTTACACATTCTTAGACTACTGAAATACTTCTGCACTGCTTGGAAGCTATCAGTGTCTCCATATCTCCTGAATCCCCCACATGACCCCAGCCATGTAGTACACATTGACCAAATCTTCCCATAATCCACCAATTCAAAGATTTACCATAGCCATGGCATGAGGCCTCCAATACCATGTCACAGCATGAGAATGGAGTCTATACTGATTGACTGGTTGTCATAACAACTATTAAATAATTTAATATAACTTCTGCAGAGAAGGCACAAGATACTTAAAACTAGGATGATTCATCTCAGAAGTTTGTTTCTTTGTCCAAGTGACTGGAGTGACTGAGAATTTGAGTCTACCAGGATAGCTCTTCTCAGCTACCAAAAGATGTTACAGGTTGCAGATCCTGCATTTTCTTTAGTCAGTTGAGATAAAGCATGTCCAGCCTCTGTCTAAACTTAGCATTATATGACGAGATTCTTGCCCTGGGGACCCTTCCATGAACTTATCAGAGAATCTCTCCTGCATGCGTGGTTTTGCAGCTCCCAAGCAACGAATGGCATGGTGGCAAGTCAGCATGGCGGGAGCCAGAGCCTCATGCCTGATTTACCCCAGCTCCAGCTGTGCTGTGAGACATTTACGTGACAGCCTGTCTGTGTCTCAAGATGAATCACAGAAAATTAGGGATGCGAAAGACCTATTAGGTCTTCTAATCCATATCCTGCCATTCACAATCCTTCCCCTATGCTCCATTTCCTAGTGCATCACCCAGTTTGGTTTTAAATAGCCTGCGATACGGAGAGTGTTGCCTCCATGCTTTCTCCATCAAGAAGCCTCTTTAGCACACCCAACTGAGGATTTGATGCTTGATTATTGTCATTTTCTATATATAGTGATGTCATAGTTATTCACTTGCCCCACTCCACCCTCCAAATAGCTCCTGAAAATAGTGAGAAAGTGGGGACACTCTCTTGTATTGAAAAAAAAAAAATGCTAGTCTCAGAAGAAACAAAGGACTTGATAGAGAAACGGAAAATGATAACCAGTCTGTGTTACTTTATTTCAACTTCTGGTATTTTAGTTATTTGCTTATTTAGCATTGTTCAGCTTCTGCTTTCTTTAACAATAGCTAGAACTATGACTAAGCACTACTATTGGCTTTGGTTTTCACATTTACTTCTGTTTTTGATTTTTAAAATTTGATTACTCATCCGTTTCCTGACTAGATTGTATTGAAGATTCCAGCCCATCATTGTGATTCAAGTAAAAACTATGCAAATATTATAAGAGTTTACCCACTCTGTTTCCTAATCTTTGTCTTTTCAGTTTTACTGAAACTCAAGAGCCAAAACTGTAAGTGTGGCACACCCTTTCTTGACAGTCATGTTTTTAAAATTGTCCGTGTTGTTCTTTACTAATGTCCAGGCAGCCGACCACCTCACAGATAGCATGCAAGAATGCATTTGTGGCTTACCTTAATCTGACCTTTTAAGCAAGGCTCACTGCACACAGACCGCACCATTCCACTCTTGTTCATCTGGATTTTGTAATCATCAATGTTCAGCACTCCTTCATGCCAGGTTCCAACGTGAACATAGTCATAGCGATTAGCTTCAGTGTACTGCAGATTCATGATATCATACCTACAAAGAGCACAACGTGCATGTCTTATAGAATATAGACATAATGTAGAAAACAAAGAAAGTTGGGAAGTAGATAATAATGGAAATAAGAAAACAGCTAGAATCATCTTACATCAGCTACTGCCAATATTTTAGTTTATTTCTTATGTTTCTTCTGATTATCCCAAATATGTATATTCCATTCTTCAATCTCTGTGTATCATCCATATTCACTAAAATATAAATTACTCTTGTTCTTTTCTCTCTGCTTATCCTCCAAAAAAATAATGTTATGTTTGCTAAGTTGATCATGTCCTTCAAATTATTGTTTACTAAGTTATTCTTTGAGTAAGTATCAATAAGAACATTAATTTTTTATTTGATTACTTTAACCCAAATTTCTTTTTCACATTCAATTGTCATTTTCATTACACTGTATTAAAAGGGGTGAGTTTTATCAAGTCTGGAACCTTTTTTAAGGTGCTAAGAGAGCAAGAAATCTGAGAAAGTCATCTTTAATTAATAAGGATGTTGAGGATTTAATGTCTTGTGCACTGACATTTAAACTAATCTCTTCCCTGATTAGGATAAATATTTTTGAAACCAAATAACTGGTATCAGTTATTGCAGTTATTTGAAATTCCGGAACACTACACAATGGCAAAACCGACACTTAGAACTCTTCACTATAGTAATCATTTCACTATATACACACAGTATATCAAAACATCATGTTATACAGCACACACCATGTATATATATGATATAGGACATTCTCTGATACAATCTAAAGAACACAAGATCTAACATCGGAATGTACAAGCTGGTCTCTTTTCTAACATTTTAACAGTAGATTATACTACTTAGGAATGCCACTAAACTCTTTAAGCTTCATGTGATTCTTGTGGAGATTTATTAAGATAGGCATGTAAAAAGCTACTTTATAATCTGGACAAATGCGTATGTCCTATGGTCGAAATGCTTATGTTCACCCCCTTCCATTCATATGCTGAAAATCCTAACCCCCAAGGTGATGGTATTAGGAAGAGGGGCCTTCAGGAGGTGATTAGGCCATGAGGACAAAGTCCTCATGAATGAGATTAGTAAAAGCAGCCTTAAAAAGCTTTCTTGCCCCTTTCACCACACAAGGAAACAATTAGAAGGCGCCATCTGTGAACCAGAAAGCAGGCCCTCACTAGACACCAAATCTGTTGGTGCCTTGTTCTTGGACTTTCCAGCCTCCAGGACTGTGAGCAATAAATTTCTGTTATTTGTGAACCATGCAGTTTATGATATTTTGCTATAGCATCCTAAATGAAGAAAGACAATCTATAAGGCAATAGCATGATTTCATTCCTATTTCTATTACTATTAATGTCCTAAAATACTCTGGTTATTTTCATTACTACATGAATACTAGAGAACAACTTTGTACTGGCATAATCATTTATGTCTCAGTCATGGGAACTCCAGCATTCTTACATCTCCTTTCCATGTTGCTGTTCACTCTATAATTAATGTTGCAGTTTCCCAAAGCTGCATGCTTGGTTGCTCCTTACTAGTTTTGCAAAGTGGGTTTCTTTTCTGCAGTACCTATGCAAAGTGCTCATCCTCCTGGAGTAGAAGATGAGTCACGAACTCTTGCTCTTTGTGCTTGACTGAAGGAAATGGCAATTAATCAACACATACTCTTCTTCATCAGCTCTCTTCATCCCTCTGCCATCTCACACACCCCTGCTTAATCCCTCCTGCAATTATTTCTCTCTAAACTGACTCATGCTCACAATCCCTCTCAGCCTACCACTCCAGGAGGCTACAGCCAATCAAACTAAGTTGGCATCTGAAACCTATTGGCTGTATCTAGCCTAGACTTTTATTATTATTATTATTATTATTATTTTTTTATCTAGACAAGGAATGTCAGTTGATTGTCTCTTCTGCCTGTTCTTAATGTGCAAATGCATTCTGTCACCCACAGGGTAGCTAATGGCTTCTCCACCTCCAAATTCTTGCAATTTCTACAAATAGTTGTCCCCTAAAAGAATAGGGTACTCTGGGAAAGTAAAGAAAGCTCTCCTTTGCCAGGTAAACAAAATGCACTTAGAATGAGAAGAGAGGAATGGTACACCCAGAGCACATTATTCATCTCTTTGCTGTGCGGACTTTTGACTAATAGAGAGTTATTATCCCTCAGTTGCTAGACGTACCAGAAAGTTCTTTAGAGTATCTTTCTGAGTGATAGCCAAGTGAGAATTAACTGTGGGCTGCTGGCTCACACTCATCCTGTTGATCAACGACACTAATCTACACCTCTGATATCTTTCCATTTTAAATTCATTAGAGCTATGGAACCTGTTGTACTGTTGTGAGTGCTTGATGTGAGTAATTTCCATTTTCATTTCCAGGAATTTTTGTGTTTTGTTTCAGATTACATTATTACAGCTTCTCACATACTCACAAAGAAGGCTTCGCTACAATGCTGGCTCTAGAATGTCTTTTTCCTTTAAATCGGTTTCCAAAGACTTTATTTTAGCTTCCTCATTTGCTTTTTCATAACAGAAATCAGTTCACACTTCATTAGCATTTAGAAACAAAAAAAAATTCACAATATTTTGGTATAAAACACATTTTTTTAAAAAAGTCCTAAAAGCTGGGAAAAAATCTAATGAAAAATATCAAGGAAAAATTACTGACTTCGTTTTAAAAAGCCTTCCTCATACTGCGTGTATTACTGAACACCGCCTTTTCTTTTGACCCCAGGGTTCCTTCCAGGCATGTTGGTCTTTATTTTGGAATTTTTTATGCTATAAATTACATATTCACAACATCCTCTCAATGCATTCAGTTTACGTTGTGTGATGATTAACTGAAGTAATTATAAGCGGGACCAAAAGCATGAACACTGGTATGACAGGAGGAGGACGTACAGGGAGATTTTCGAAACAGAAATTGAAAACGGATTATGCTAACCAATTGCAAGCAAAAGGATATGATCCCTAAGAAAAGACCCAGGGGAAAGCTTAAGTAAGATCTGAATATTTAATTAAAGATGGAGAAGAAACAAGCTAAAATTATGCACCTACATTTTAGATAACTTGTAAAGAGAGAGGAGTAAACTTGAATTTATGAAGTATCAAAAATGCATCTGGCCTTGTGCTAGGCACATTGTATGCTATCTTTGGGAATCATTGAAGGAAGGTTTACATTCTAATTCTGACCCCTTATTGAGCCTAGTGTCCAGTGGAACACAGGATGAAAGAGGGTTTACAGAGGCAGGTAGTCAATGTTCTGAATCTCAGACCCACTTGTTGCTCCTGGTACCACTTCCTCGAAGCTTTTCACATGCCCAATTCCTGAATCATTCCATCTACCCCACTTGCATCCAGTCAAAATCTGTTCCCACCTAACTAGCAGCTTGGAAGAAATCTGATATATTGATCATTTTAATTGCTGACAATGACTGATATCATTTATCCTTCCTAGAGCTGTCAGATTTTAACAGGGAGAATCCAGTTAGGTCTCACAAGGTACTCCGTAAGTGCAGGACTTCAAGCTGACAATAAAGAGATACATGGAGGCTTATTTAGGGTCAAACAGTCCCTTACAGTACTTCTGAAATGACATTAAGAAGGTTGCCAAGGTCGGGCATAGTGGCTTACACATGTAATCCCAGCACTTTGGGAGGCCAAGGTAAATGGATCACTTGAGGTCAGAAGTTCAAGATCGGCCTGGCCAACATGGTGAAACCCCATCTCTACTAAAAATACAAAAAAATTAACCAGGCATGGTAGCACACACCTGTAGTCATAGCTACTTGGGAGGCTGAGGTAGGGGAATCACTTGAACCCCGGGGGTCAGAAATTGCAGTGAGCCAAGACTGAGCCACTGCACTCCAGCCTGGGCAACAGAGTGAGACTCTTTCTCAAAACACAAAAAGAAGATTGCCAACCATGTTGCTAATTTTAGGATCTGCTAAAAGGCAGTGTGATGTTGCCTGATTAGAAGCCTCAGAGTGAGAGCACTTGCCTCCACAGCTTGCAATCTGTGGACATTAGATGAGTTCCTTAGTTTCTCTGATACCCAGTTTTATTATCTGTAAAAGAAAGACAATGATCCACCTACAGCAATGAAGATTACATGATTTGATGTTCCACTTGAACACAGCATATGCTTTTCTAAAAAGCTCTAAGTCTGGGACATCATACACTGAAAGGTGACAGGGCCTATAAGGCCCTGGGCTTGCTGAGTGGCAGCCAAGCTGAGGGCCTTTTTCCTTCCTCTTGAAGGTGTTAATTCTTCTGCCATTCTGATTATGCCTTTCCTAGGAAATTGCGTATGAATGAACACAACTATTCTTGATACTAACAAAATTTCCTATGTACCAATTATGCTTGAGCAACTGGTAGTATCAAAACAAGTATTGCAGAGCAGACTGTATGTAAAATGGCTTGGAGAGGATTTTATGCATATTTACCTTGGTTTACTTTTTATCTGCTTTTTGTTTGATTAATTCTTTAAAAGTCATAGGGACTCGATTCCAAAAAGAAAGTTGTTTCCTTTCTTGCTCCACGAGATATGTTAGCAGAAACATAAGTTAGACTGAGGAGAAGGGAGACACATGCAGGACCTAGTTCTCTTTGCATATTGAGCTCTTTAACCAGGTGTAATAGTCAAAATATTTCATAACCAGAATGGTATATAGTTAATCAATCAGAAAGACGCTGGCCCGGTACTGGCAAGGTCTGAGAGGTTTCTGTTGGCCAAGTGTACTTTCTTTAGTTTCCTGGGCTTGCAGGGAGGTCCCAAGCATTCTGGAAAAAGGGTTAAGTGATAGCTGAGTAAGGGGGTGGCACCAGTAGAATACTGGGTATCGGGTGTTGAAAAAGAAGTATTTTAATATTTTAAAAAGTAGTGTGGTCTTTGGTAATTTCATCTGATATTATCCCTGGACTTTTTGCTACCTAGTTGTATCTATCCTCATGACACCCAGAAACCATGGAACCAGATGAAGCCATAGTTGCCATCTGTCTGGCACAGGAAGGCTCACAAGGTTATTTAGATTCATTACTGAAAAGATTACCTTCCAGGAGCATCTCCTTTCTCATCAAACCACACCTCCTCTCCAGATACGCCGATGAATGAGGACTTGATGAGGAAGTCCAGGAGCTTGCTGCCGTCGATGGGCTTCATGGCATCGCAGAGGCCCACGTGGCCAGGGCAGAGGGCATGGTGCATGTTCTGCAGCCCATGTGCCATGGCATAGATGGCATTGATGACAAACCCCATCTTACTGTCCTGGACATAGTTTTCTTCTAAGCTTTCATTGCCTGTAACAATAAAAATTCATCACTACCAAGGTCACAATAATAAAGACTAGGCTTCTAGGTTTAATTCTCAAATGCTTTTGGGGGTTCTCAGAGGAAGGGAATGAGCAATGACACTGGCAGAAGCCAAGCCCACCTGTGCAAGCTTTGTACTTGTGGCTAGCTCTAGTGGATTCCACCTGCAAATAGTTTATTCAGTTTTATTCTCTCTATTCAATAATGGTTTTGTGAGATATAAAACAAATTCCAGAGGGGTGAAAATAAAGGACTTTCAAATATTGTAAAGAAATCCTGAAGGAGTAACGGAAATAACTCTTATTCCCCCTTTGTTTACAGGAATTTATATTAAAAATCTCCTATATCATGGTACTGAAAAAACATTTTTTATTCCTTTATGACAATCCACAATTTACAGAAATTCAGTTTATGCATTATCTAAACCATGGTATTTTCTTTTGGTGATTCCACTATTTTTTTCATTTCCAGGGCCACAAAACTCCAGAGTTAGAATTGGTCAGTATGAATCTCTTCTTATAAATGGTTGATGGGGCAGAAATATTTACATCAGATTTGCTAATTATTGGAAACTCAGGTAAAATGTTTCTTGATGAAAGAGTCACACTACACATTAATTTTAGCCTTTAGATTTTACCTGTGAATTTCAAAAAGCCTGCAATCAATTCTACCTATGTCACAGGTGATCAAAAATCCCCTACTGCCAAGCAGGTTCACAAGAATGGTATTGTGTTAGATATAAGCTCCATATTGGAAGTCTAGACTTCTGGACGTATATATGGATGAGAAATTTGGGGACCAACTGGGTTTGCTGAAATAAAGGTAACAGGTTTGGAAAACAAAAAATATATTTGGGAAACATCACTGGCATAATTCAGAGACTTTAGTTGGTTCCTGAAATTTGCTTCTCTCTGCAGTGAACTTTTCCTCCCTCATTTGACTGACAGTGGGGGGTCGATGTGATGTGTGCTTGAAGTACTAGAAGGTGGGGAAGTCAGCAATTTAGCTGCATATGGGGTTGAGAACAACATAGGGCTCCTCACACTCCCTGCTGGCTGCCCTCTTTGTTGCAACCTAAATAGGTCACTGGACACTAAGGTTCCCAGGCTAAGACTAGCAGAGGAATATTTAGGAAGTTAGACAGGTTGAGTCTTTAGAAGAAACGGTAAAGAGTTTTGACTTTGATGTCGAACTTGGGATGAAAATGGACATTTTTAAAGAGTTCTATTTAAAGGCCTATCTATTTAGATGTAGTCAAAAGCTTGAAAAAGATTTACTTATATCTACCCTGAGAGTGAGATATAAAATACCCAGGCTAGGTTAAAGGGGAAGAAGATTAGATTTTAATCCATTTTTGAGCTTTTCATGATAGGACATTGTTAAAAGTGTAATTTGCTAAAGCAATATTTTCCTGATTGGAAGGAAATTTTCCAAGTGGAAATGAGGAGTCAGAAAGACAGGAAGGGCATTTTAAAATCAAACCACACAAAATAAGTATAGAAAGTTATATAAGAAAGAAAGTAAAGATCCTCTTTCCAAAAATTGCAGAGTCATTTAAACAGAGTAGCTTATGTCTGTCACCCAGAACCCACGGCCCTTTTTGTTGGTTTTCTTTCTCTCCCTCTCCAACTTACTGGGACTATAAGAGGTAAATTTGTGCCATCTGCCTGGTAACTCTTAAGCAAGCCCTTATAGGCTCGTCCAGAAGACCAAATGCTAAATATTAAAGCTACTAGAATCAGAGAAATTGCCAAGAGTTAAAGAAAAAAAGGAAAAAAGAAAGAAAGACAAAAACTGAGTGGCAAAATAACCTTCAAGACAGCAGTCCCTTAAAGGGTCCTGGTCAATACTAAAACCATCATCCAAAGTGGAGTCATTACAGCCAACACCAGGATCAAACTGTAGAAAAATATCAGAAGAAACACACAACGTTCTTTACCAAATGAAAAATCATCTGTTAGGGACAAGACTTATGGACACTGAGTTTGCTCTTCCTGTTTTTTATAACTACTATTTAAGATTTATTTTACAGCCTGTAACCCCAGCACTATGGGAGGCCGAGACGGGCGGATCGCGAGGTCAGGAGATGGAGACCATCCTGGGCTAACACGGTGAAACCCCGTCTCTACTAAAAAGTACAAAAAACTAGCCGGGCGAGGTGGCGGGCGCCTGTAGTCCCAGCTACTCGGGAGGCTGAGGCAGGAGAATGGCGTAAACCCGGGAGGCGGAGCTTGCAGTGAGCGGAGATCCGGCCACTGCACTCCAGCCTGGGCGACAGAGCGAGACTCCGTCTCCAAAAAAAAAAAAAAGATTTATTTTACATAGATAAAAAATTATGTTGGTGTCCCCAGTACAAATTTCTTAAGCCAGTGCCAGTGGTTGTCTAGTGGATACTTCATTCATCAGCACTGAGACAGGAACTGTTCTTGTATATCTGTGAGACCAGCGTTTTCCTTTTGATCCTCATTTAGGGTGATCATATAACCTATGACTTGGGTCAGTTTTTAGAGTGAAAGTTAGTGTTGACAATAATTATTTTGAGAACACAGGTGTAAAGGCAAACCAGGCAAATTGTGTCATCTCTCTTAAGCCAGGTGCCTTCTAACTGTGTCTTATCTTCTGAGGTTATTATGGGTAAGATTAATGTACAAATATGTATGTATAGACACACGTAAACATAAGTACATAGATGTATACATATGTGTATACAAACAATAGTCAGTAGAATGTTATTATTTTTTAACTAATTTCACATTTATCTAATTTTTAAAAGATTTGTTTGACAAATATTTATTCATACCTATGCTATATCTGGCACTGCTTTTGTCAATGGGGTATTATGTAGACAAAACATACAGGAATACCTGATGTCACAGGACTTAAATTCTTGTAAAACGCTACAGAAAATGTTTTTAAATTAACGCAACTAAGAAAAATATGTAATAATTACAATCAAATCAGTGTTACATAAAAACATAAAAGAGAACAGGAAAGAAAAAGTGGGTATGTTGAGACAGTATCATGTTGATCAGTTACAGTCGACCTCACCAAAAAGAGGACCATTGAGTGAATAATGGAAGAAGAATAGGTAGTGAATCAGGCAAATATCTGGGCAAGAGCATTTAAAGTAAAGGCAATAGCTTCATGTCTACAATAATAATAACACGGCTGGGCACGGTGGCTCACGCCTGTAATCCCAGCACTTTGGGAGGCCGAGGCGGGTGGATCACAAGGTCAGGAGATCGAGACCATCCTGGCTAATGCAGTGAAACCCCGTCTCTACTAAAAGCACACACACAAAAAGAAAAGAAAATAAAAGAAAAGAAAAAAGAAAAGAAAGAAAATAAAAGAAAAGAAGAAAAGAAAAGAAAAAAATTCGCCGGGCGTGGTGGCGGGTGCCTGTAGTCCCAGCTACTCGGGAAGCTGGGGCAGGAGAATGGCCTAAACCCAGGAGGCGGAGCTTGCAGTGAGCTGAGATCGCGCCACCACATTCCAGCCTGGGCGACAGAGCGAGCCTCCATAGTAATAATAATAATAGCTACCACTTCTTAAGTGTTTGTTATATACAATACTTAATAAATGAGCTATAATGCTTACCATAATCCTGCCAACTAAACATTAGTCTCACTATTTTACAGGTGAGGAAAGCATGTGGTATAATTTGGATCCAAATGCCTCCTCAGTCCTTGTTCTTCCTGTCACACTTAGTGGCAACGCAGGGGCAGGTATAGAAATCTACAGAGGAGACACTTTTCTGGTGACAGAGGACAGGGCATCCTTCAGTGCCCTGGCATCATTGTCAAGCCTGGTTTAGGACTTCTTTCTGGATCATTCCAGATGTGCACAGCTCTCTCTCTGACTACAAGTACTGGCACCCAATCTACCAATAGCAAACGATGACAAAGAAGCCCATTCTGTCAGCGCCATATAGAGAGGAGGGGAGATACATGCTTCCGCGGAATATTTGCAGTGTAATAGCTCACACCCCTTTCCAAAATAGACTCAAAGTTTGTGTGTTTGTGTCCATCTGAAGTGAGTACCTGTGCTCTCTTACTCTGCCAGTTCCCTGGCTCTGTACACCCAAGGGGGTCCTACTGTCAGGAAGAACTCTCTTCAGCTACTACCTCAGACTCAGCCCTGCTGGCTCCAAGTCTAATAAACTAGCATGCAGGGACATGTGACATAAAGTTGGAAAGTCATGTGGCTTTTGCAGGGCCATTTCCTTTACCACAGCAACCGTCCAGATAATGTTGTAAGGGTCTGTTATTGAACAAACAAAATCTACTATAGGATGCCCTGTCCTCTAAAGATCCTATATTTTCATGGCTAGTGAATAGAGAATTGTAAACCAATAACATTGTCACTTGGTGGGAAGGTGAAAACACTTTGGTTTCCTGGGGTTTAGTGCCTTTTCATAACACTTGTCTCAGAGTTATTAGTGAGAAGGAGATTTTATGAATCATTTTCTGTGGTACGTTAACTATTTGGACCACTAGGATTCATTAAACCATTACTTTTTGTAATATGTTAAATGGAACCAAATAATTGCAGTTGACTCTGTTTATTTACTTTCAAAAGAATACCTGCCTAACTGCTTCACAGTGGGTTATGAAAATAACTGCCTTGGTTCTAAATAGTAATCGTGTTCTTATTGTGAAAGCTCAACAAAGATTATAAACTGCTACCTGAGTGCAGCAGCACACAGGCTCTCCATGGGGACAGGAACAGAAAGGGTAGCCTCTGAAAACAGGACATTTATGGTGACTGGGAGAAGGGTCAGCAACTCTATCTGCTGTCATTTAGGATGGTTTTTCAGCAGAGTGGTGAGGCAGAAAGAACTCTGGACGAGGCACATGAGCAGCTGGGATTAGATACAGTTCCGCTATATCATATCAACAATGTATTTCTGACTGAGCGCCGGGGCTCACGCCTGTCATCGCAACAGTTTGGGAGGCCAAGATGGGTGGATCACCCGAGGTCAGCAGTTC